ATAGTATCTTGTTTTAGTGTAGGTTTAGGTAGTGTTTTGTACGTTCCACATACTACAATGAACATCTTGTTTTAGTGTAGGTTTAGGTTGTGTTTTGGACGTTCATCATACTACGCTGTATATCTTGTTTTATTGTAGGTTTAGGTGGTATTTTGGACGTTCATCATACTACACTATATATCTTGTTTTAGTGTAGGTTTAGGTACGTGTTTTGTACGTTCCACATACTACAATGAACATCTTGTTTTAGTGTAGGTTTAGGTTGTGTTTTGTACGTTCCACATACTGCAATGAATATCTTATTTTAGTGTATGTTTAGGTTGTGTTTTGTACGTTCCACATACTACACTGTATATCTTGTTTTAGTGTAGGTTTAGGTGGTGTTTTGGACGTTCATCATACTACACTGTATATCTTGTTTTAGTATAGGTTTAGGTAGTGTTTTGTACGTTCATCATACTACACTGTATATCTTGTTTTAGTGTAGGTTTAGGTAGTGTTTTGTACGTTCATCATACTACACTGTATATCTTGTTTTAGTGTAGGTTTAGGTGGTGTTTTCGACGTTCATCATACTACACTGGTATATCTTGTTTTAGTATAGGTTTAGGTAGTGTTTTGTACGTTCATCATACTACACTGTATATCTTGTTTTAGTGTAGGTTTAGGTTGTGTTTTGTACGTTCATCATACTACATTGAATATCTTGTTTTAGTGTAGGTTTAGGTTGTGTTTTGTACGTTCCACATACTACATTGAATATCTTGTTTTAGTGTAGGTTTAGGTAGTGTTTTGGACGTCATAGAACTATTCTGAGGGCAGGATTGTATGGTGAACTTTTTGTCTGCCCAAAACAAAAAAACACCTGTCTATAGTGTAGTAAGATGAAGCCGTGTTTCATAAAAAGATTAACTAAGCAACAGATGTGTATAAAAATGAAATAAAAATTAAAAGTACTATAATCATCGTTGTCTTTTTTTACAAGTACATATTTCGGAAATAATACTGAGGCCATTCTATATTCAGGTTTTGAAGTAGCATTTGATTCAATTTTTAATTCTAAACGTCAGTTTACTGAGTGCTTTTTGTTTTATATGAAAATGTATTTGTTAACTAATTGTGTTACTTAATTAAGGTACTTATAAAATGATGAAGCAAGCACAGAGTATGTCAAAAAAGCGTCGTAGAAACAGTAGCATATGTAGTATTAAATGTAGAATTTAATAGAAAATATTACTATGGTTTGTTTGAAGTTAAGCTATCTGTGTTCCGCCCACAACGAGTACCAGTTTCTAGCGTTGTAAGTCCGTAGACATTCCGCTGTGTCACTGGGGGGCATATTACTATGGTATGTCTTGTCTTTATTTTCAATATTGAATAACATGTCACTAAATATTTCACGAATCAAATAGTTTTATTTGTAACTAGGACAACCTGGTTCTTCAAACAAGACATGTAAAGCCAATAAATATTTCAACATGAAAGCGTGTATGAATAATTGGTATACAATTACATTAAACAGAAAAAAGTAATAGTTGCCCTCTGACACATAAAACTACTAGTTATAATCACAAATATGTTCTAAACATTTTTTCTTTGAAATATACAGACATTTGTAAAGAAAACGAGAAATGTAAAAATGTCATAAAGTTGATGCATAAATAAAAATATTTTCCTACTGAATATTCTACTGAAGTAACCGGAGAAACATTACATAAACATAAGTAAGTGTGCAGTATAGCTAACATTATATTTAGATATATTGTATTAAAGCTTAGATAACTTCAAGTTTTAAATACATGTATGTCATTAGTACAACAACTTGGATAATTTTTAGACTAAAGAACTATAAAAAGGTCCATAAATGTTTAAAACATACTTATTAAAGATTGAGAAAAACTACATAGCTTTGGCAAATTAGCACAAGAAAACATGCTAATTTTTCTTTTTTTGTTCCGAAGAAAATTTAATAAAAACAACTCCTTATATTTGTAAAAGATAAGCCACAATATGGCATAGG